TAATTATATTAAATTATCTTGAATTTTTTTTAACTTTGCATTTAACTAAAATTATATAGCTTATTACGGGATAAGATTGCTTTAGTAATTATTTTGTTTAACATTGTAACAAGAAACAATATTCGTAATGTTACTGTTTAATGTATAACAGTTAAAAATAATACTCCTCTTATTGATGTATTGAAATATTGAAATATTTTCAAACAGCCCGAGCAGTTCCTCTGTCCCTAATGCTAGAACCCCAGTATGAAGAGGGACTGGGTCCATTTCAGTCAGTCAATCCTTCAGGTTCTAATGTTACTTTGACGTGTAGGGTTAATGTAAGTATCTTTATAAATTGCGTTTTATAAGCGATGTTGAAAATTAACTTTAAGCAGTTTATACAAAATAACATGAACAGTCAATTTGTTTCTTCTAAAGGGTCCAAAAGCTTTAACCTTCACCTGGAAGTACGGCCCTTCAAGTGAAGATATCAACAGTTTCACGCCTTATCCACAACAAAACGCTATATCAGTTGCTGAACCTGTGGTGATCAGTTCTGTGACAACCTGTGTCCAGTACCGTCATTCGTCAACACTGAAGTTTCAAACAGAAGACATGTATAATGGCTACATGTATGTGTGTGTGGTTACTGAAAACAATAAAGACACTATTGTTGGGAATATGACGATATACACTAAACAAGGTAAATTACAAATTTAATTGAATTTATTTCAACCACCCCTTTAGTCATTACATTCTTCTTATTAAGCCTCATACGTGGTGCATCTAATAAGCCTTAAGTCACAGAGAAGAAGGGCTATTTTACAATGTGGATCTTGCTTCATATTTTAAAATCAGAATATCTAATAAACAAAAAAAAGTGTCTACACGATTTATTTAAAAAGACGCCCGGGTTGGAAAAGTTCTGTAGTAAAAAAAAACTTTTAAAGTTGTCTGGTACAGGGGGTAGTAGTTTGTGTTATTGAGATTAGAACCAAGAGACACGCATCAGATCCAATGAGATGTGTAAAGAGTATCAATGTACAAACGTTTTAAACAGTATACAACCTTGTGATATTATATGAACTCGTAAAAAATCATATATGTTTTCAGTGACACCAACGTGGCATCCAAATGGAACAGCGACCATGGGAACACACGTGACAACTCCAAGGTCAGGCGGACAATCAATAACTGTTCATATAACTGTTCATATCATTGCTGACTTGGTTACATTGGTTTTTATTTGTCTTTTTCTTAACACCTTATAGGTGACACTCTTGTTAGGCGTAATACTTTGTTTTGTTTTGATTGTAGTAGTTACAATTTTTTAAACTCGTTGTGTTAATTATTCTTTAAAACATGTTTAGCAAGTGTTGTAAAAACGTCCTGTTTATTGCTATTTCTTTTAATATTCTTATAATGTTCTTCTTATGGATTTTATAAGTATAGATGAATACTAAATATTTCCTTAATTACAACCCCTCCCGACGTGAAATTGAACCTTTAAATATTTTCTCCGTGAAATATTGTAAACCTGTTTATAAATTTTGTGGGATAAAAAGTTTTAAGTTTATAAGTTTGAAATAAAACAATATGCTATTCATTTCCCTTGATTGTATACAGACCGTTTTATCATGGTTAAATGTATAATTTTAATTAAAACATGTTGGTGATGGTCGCCTTTATAAAATGTTTCGACCTGAAATAAACTTGGGTCTTAACAAATTCTTTATTATCAAGTCATATAATGTAGCACATTCACTTGAGCTATTTAAATAAACTTAAATAAAATTGGGTCTTAACAAATTCTTTATTTTCAAGTCATATAATGTAGCACATTCACTTGAGCTGCTTGACTATTCTAAAGATTTCACGGCACTTTCACCTAGTGATGGTGTTTATTCAAAAAACCGGTTTGGGTTTCAAAGAAACGATGGGTCACGGGGGTATGGACGGGTACACGCCGTCTGCCATTCACCGGTAAATGAAACATTGACAGCTCACACGCTTGGCAACCAAACAATTTTTATTCAATTTCACTCCACGTTCTTTCATTTCTTGCTATGCCTTTTCTTTGTATGGAAATGAAATAGAGGTTATGTTTTATGTCTTTAAAAACACATTGCATACATCTGTACATTTTTATATTTCGCTTGAGGCTGTGCAGTTCTCTATAAACTGATATGTTGTGATTTAAAAAAAAAATGTGGCTGTACCATCTTTCATTCAGACATGGCTGCCGTTTTCTGGCTTGGTCACTACGCTGGTGACAGTTTGTCACCACATCATCGAAGTCTCGTCACCACGCTGGTGACTAAATGTGTCACCACCGCCGCCACCCAACGGTCTCTGAAAGCTGGTTAATATTTACCAGCCATGTGTAGCATTAAGCGTAACTAAATTGTGCTTGCTATCCATTCAACTTGGAATTAACCTAAAATTAGAACAAAATCACGAGATCTTGTACGAATTTTTTTTTTACCGAGGCGTGTAAAATCTGGGCCAGGTATGATGTTGTATGCTACATGGAACTAACATCATGGGGTTGTACCCAGAGGCGTCGTGAGACGTGGGCGGACCGGGTGCCAGCATTTAGGGGGTGACACCCTGATGAAAGTTGCTAAATGTGTAAAAGAAATTTTAATGATTAATTAGAGTTAATCCACCAATATTAATAACTGACTATAGATAAACATATTTAATATTAACTTTTTCCCACATGAATTACTTGGTGGATTAATATAATGTGCGTACAAATTGACGCCATTAGGCGAAATAAGAGGGGATGTTACACACACACATACTATTTTTTATTTTCTTGTTCTTTATGTGTTGCGTTGGTTCACTTACATATATACAATATCCGGAAAATATATTATCCCCACTGTTTAAAGTAGTTTTATTTTATTTATTTCCTCGATAGCGTTGAGATATTGTTACTGAAAATTTATTAAAATTTATTATTTCTTTAAAAAAATGTGAAGTCTGTTTGATATAATAATTGTGGATTTATTAAAGTTTAGGCAATGCTTAAAGTTTTACTTTACTTTTTTAATAACTAGGATGTGCTGTATCACCCTGTTTTCCTCAATTATTACTTGTACTAGTGTCATCTCATTAGCGGTTGATTCAAAGGTTGCGCGTTACAAATACACTATTACACTGCCTGAAGTTTTTACATCCTAAGGTCTAATGCCCTGTTTTTAATATAAAAAACAACTCTAAAAAGTAGTGGATTCTTTTGAATCGGTTAGGAGTGGTGTCTTCAATAATAACAGTGGTATGAGATGTAAAACGGGCAGGCATTGTATGCTACAAAAAAAAAAAAACAGAAGAATATCGTACAAACTTTTGTTAGGCTACCAGGCCTTATTGTGGGAATCACACTGACGACCACTGGATGTTAAAGGCGAAATTGGCGACGGTGTTGATACCAAGCACCATCTAACTGTAGCAACATCTAACTGTAGCAACATCCTGAGTACAACTATTGCGTGTTGTAGAAAGTTAACGATACACCCAGTATATTTCTAGTGGCCTGTTAAAAATTTGACGTTCATATATAGAAACACGGCTACAGGACATTACCCCCCCCCGGGACATATCACCCCGGACATCCCCCCCGTATTCCCCCCCCCCTGTCAATTACCCCCATGGGGAATTACCCCTTCTAACTCAAATTCTATACCAATATATTACCTTAATCCTAACCTTAAGACAAAGACGAAAAACCTAAGAATTCACCTCACCCTAAAATAAACCCAAAACCAAACCCAACGCTAGACATTGATTAGAGCCTAACCCTGATCCTAACACTAACCCTAGACTTAACCCTAAACGTAGCCCTAGCCCTAGCCCTAGCCCTAGCTCTAGCCCTAGCCCTAGCCCTAGCCCTAGCCCTAGCCCTAGCCCTAGCCCTAGCCCTAGCCCTAGCCCTAGCCCTAGCCCTAGCCCTAGCCCTAGCCCTAGCCCGAACCTGAACCCGAACCCGAACCCGAACTCAAACCCGAACCCGAACCCTAAGATTAGCGCTAACCCTATACCTAGACCTAGCCCAAACGTAAACCCTAGCTCTAACCATGGCTGAACCTTAAGCTATGACGGGGGGGGGGGGGGGAGTAATGTCTTACTGGGCGGGGGGTAAATAAATGGGTGAGGGGGAGTTACTACGGGGGGGGGGGGTAATGACGTGGAGGGTAATTGACGGGGGGGGGGGAATGCCCTGTTCCCGTAGAAACACATTTATTAATGCAGCCGTAGAAATGTCTATATTTTCTTCTGTGTTATTTGATTATGTGTGTTACAAGAATGCTTTAGGAACCTATAGGTAGCACAAAACTATCAATGGCAAAGAGAATGACGTCACATGGCGTAAATTACTACTTCCGGTAAACAGAAATTACTCCAAATTTGACAGATGGTAGAGAATTAGATGTTATACTAACATGTGAAATTTCATTTATCTATCTGAAATAGTACTCAAGTTATAGGCTTTTGAAAAATTCAAAGTAGAAAAAGTACCACTTCCGGTTTTCGGAAATCGCTCAAAAGTTGATACGGATCTACGATTTTGATTAAATACTTGAAACTTCATCAACCTAGCTATAACGGTACTCAAGTTATCGTTTTTACACACACACACAGACATAGACACACACACACACAGACACACAGACATACGGACAAGATTGCAACATTTTTTTTCAAGATTACAAGACTTTCTCTATAATAAGATCTTATTGTCATTGAGTTACGGGCCCTTTAAGTCTAGGACTATAAAGAATTTGCTTAAGACCTTAAGATTTATAGCCACACTGCTAAAGTTGATATTTTTGTTATCTTTTAAGTAAGTCTCTGAGTTGTAAACTGTCACCTTTACAATCCTCTCCCATAATTCATGTCGTGCCATCTGTATTGTAAGACGGACTCTCGTGTAATAAAAGTGATTGTACGGTCAAACTAAAGATATTTTTTATCGTTATCAGCGGAGCACCATCTCTACCCCATTCGTTTACTTTAAAGTGTGGTTAAGTTTCCAAGAACAGATCAGTTAGGGAGTGTGTCACAATTATAACTTTGGCTTATGGTTGTAAGCCAGTCACTATAGAACAACACATTGTTCGAAAATTTCACTATGTTTGTTCATTTTGTTATTTTAACTTTGTTGTGGCAATCACCAACAGGTAATGTTAAACAGGTTTTTTCGATTGCGTCTTTAAAAATTAATTTAAAATAAAGCAGGTACATCTAAATTGAAAAACAAAACTATATGAGAATCTTATGCTTACACACATTTAATTAGGGTCCGTTTTCTATTATCAATATATATATATATATATATATATATATATATATATATATATATATATATATAAAATTTAATATATATAATATATATTTCAGGCCTTAACTGTTTTATTGAAATCTTTATTTGTTTAGCTTTGCAATTGGCTAATTTGTGATAAAATGTATTTTGAAAGAATAGGGCTTATTCACGTAAGTTAAGTTTCTTAAGGAATTCTTTTATTCTCAGAAAAAAAACAACTATAATCTCTAAATAGCTTACATGATAGTGTAATTGATGCCTTTCTTGTGGTGCGGGTTCGAGACGCAAAATCAATCTCAAATATTCTTTGTTAATTTTTTTTTTACATGTGAATGATACAGTTGCCTATCGGGACCTGGCGGGCGAAGTAGAGTTCACCTGTTTTTAAAGGGATGGTGTGGTAAGACCCATGCTCTGCCGAAATAGGTGTTTTTAAAAGACAAAAACAGCATAACTACCATTGAACAGCAGGGCTTTTAACGAAATCTTTTAAGTCTCTTAATTTTAAGTCTCTTAATCAGCGAGTGCATTTAATATGGTATTGTGTTGACTAAAACTGTATATACATTGGTTTTAATTTTTCTAATATGTATTGGTAATCTATGTTATTTTAAAGAAATTGGTAGTCTATGTTATTTTAAAGAAGTATAAACATAGACAGTTCATAAAACAAAACCCTTTTTTTCATAACCTTAAGAATGTTTCATTCCAATGCTCTTGATCAATAAATTGTTTCCTTTCCCAAACTTTGAATAATGATTTTTCTAGTTGTGTATATTTCTGATTGTTGTACTTCGGTGGCGGGTTAACTTTAAGTGTTGTAATTTGTGGAAATAAATAGAGATTACTGAAGTGGCGTTTATTTATTTTTATTTTTTTCTTCTTGTTTACGATTCCCTGACTAGTTCGAAAGGATTAGAGAAGGGAGTCGTAACATAATTGGCGGCTTGCGTCCGGGATAGGACAGACAACGAGTTGACTAGTTTCTTTTGATGCCATTTTCAGTTGGGGGCTCACGAGCTTGTGTTTGAGTTTTAAGTTTTATGAGTAGTGACAGTAAAGTTTTTCACGGAATCAGGAGAGTTTTCCAAACATTGAGTAAGTAGCTTATCACCTTTGTATTGACACTGAGTTTATTTTGCTTGATTTTTATGTGGTCCAGTGGAACTGGAGTGTTTGAGTTTATTCAGTACAGCTGGAGGGTCATTCCCAGGTACGTGAATAAATTCGTAATTTTTGTTTGGTTTGCTCAGTATAGCTGGAGGGTCAATTCCCAGTATACGTGAGTAAATCGTTTGTGATCCAGTGTAGCTGGATATCTTAGTTTGGTTGGCCCAGTATAGCTGGTGTCTACCTGTTTTAAGTGTCAAAGGTGATAGCCGTACTTGTAATGTTTAAGTTAAAGTTTTTGTGTGAAACCACATTTTCTTAGTTAACCGCCACCACTTAGCTGAATAAGTTCCGTAAGTGTGAATCATGGACGTAATGAGTTTTATTGAGTGTCCAACTCTAGAAGTTTTAGACAAGTTTTGTCGCGTAGAGTTGTTGTGTCTAGTTGAGCAACTAGGACTAGAGGTTGATGTCTCGGATAGAGATAGAGTTCTACGAGATCATATTGTTGTTGAGTTGGTAAATGCAGGTAGATTAGAGGTGGAGTGTCTAGACTCTATAGAATACTACGAGATAGGACGCATTAGAGTAGAAGAAATTGAGAGAAAGTATCAAGTTAAGTTGTTAGAGATTGCAAGAGAACAAGAGGAGAAGTTATTAGAGATCAGGAGGGATATATTTATGTCAGAATCTTGTAAGGAAAATGATATTCAAAGTTTAGAGAAACTGAGAATACATGAGGTTAAACTATTAGAGATCAGGAGGGAACGGGATTTACTTAGGCTAGAGGAGGAGGCGCAGCTTAGTGGGTTGTTTGACTTTCCAGAATCTGTCTCTGTTTTCTCTCAGGCTAGTGTAGTAGTTTCCGAGGATCGGTAAAGAGATGAAGATAGTTTGTTGTCTGTTAGAGTTGGTAGTGAGTTTTGTCAGTCTCAGACTAAGGCTGCCACTAGCTTTGGCTCAGTCCCTGAAGTCGACTCTAACCTAGCAAAACCAGCACAAACGTCAAAACGTGCTGATAGTTTACGAGTTGAAAGTTTTCTGCCGACAAGTACTGAAGGCAGTCAGCAAGTTATTGGTTTAGATAAAATCACGGCGACCACTCTGATGTTGACCAGTCATGAAAAGGGGCTGTCAATATCTGACCCAGTGGATACAACCACCGATGATATCACGGCGACCACTCTGATATTGGCCAGTCATGAAAAGGGGCAGTCAATGTCGGAACTAGTGGATCCAACCACCGCTGAAATCACGGTAACCACCGAGAGAGTGAATACCCATGAGAACAGGCTGTCCTCGTCTGAACCTGAACCAGTAACTGTATCTGATCAAGACCTTACTACTTGTCGTCTTGATGGCGTCATGACCTTAACTGGAGGTCATGTGAATGGTGACCCACACCTTCAGTTAGACGTGTCAACAAATCTTCGGCCAGCATCGGTAACGTACGAAATTGTTACCCATTGTCTTGGAGGTGAGCCTAACACGGGCTGTCCTCCCATTATCACAGCAGTGTTTGATTTCTCCCCGACCAAGTCCAGCAACCTGGAGGCCATGACCTCACCTGGAGGTCACGTGGATGGTGTTCTACATCCCCAGTTCGAGGAGACGATGAATCTATTGTCAGCGTCGGTGACGAGCCAAGTCATTACCTCTTGTTTTGGAGTTGAGCCTAACTCAGGCTTCCCTCCCCTTATCTCGGAGCTGATTTATTGTTCTTTGACCGACCCGGGGAAGACCGGTAATGTGACCTCAGCGGGTCACACTTCTCCCGTCAACCGAGAATGTGTACATGTGAGCGCATCCCATCTCACTTTCACAGAGACGGGGCGTGCAATCGATCTCTCTTTGTGCGGCTCGGTGTATTTGTTGTGGGCGGATAATATCTCCGTCACTAAAATTGTGCTGCGACGTTACAAAGTTCGGCTAAAGATTTATATTTACGGACTCATGACGACCTGCAAGACGGAAACATAATGACAATGTGTACCTTTGAGTTTCAAGCCTGTTATAGAACTGTTTCCTATATTGACTGTTTCATGTTTTCCCAGGATGCGAGTGTTCTAATCAAAATGAACTGTTTTCAGGCATAAAGAATGTACCCTTTTACATGTCTTGTTTGAAAAAAAAATGTGTAATTGATGTTTTTACATGATGATGATTTCGTGACAGTTTTTAATTGTATTGACAGGTTTTGTTGACTGATGACGTAACTATCAGTAAAACGAAGACTGTTGGTTTTCAATCTTAGCATTATTTACGACAGTGACATATTTGTGGCTTATTTGATGTTTTCTTTATTTAATGTCAATTTTTGCAGTCATCAATTTGGGATTCTTAGTCAAACGTGTTATTGTGACTAAACCATTGATGTTACTTATCTTCTTAATAATGATGATGTTGGATTGATTTTGCCCAGACTGGGTTTGTTCTGGGACTTTTGAAATATTGTGTGATGTGGTGTGGTGGTCAATGTGTTGTTCAATTAATTCACCAAATGGCGAATTAATTTCTTGAAGGGTGGAGGTGTTACGATCCCATGAGGGGGATCTTACCTTTTTTTGGACATGGTTGAACGTGGGTTAATTAGGGTGTCACCTAGAGATTTATGGATGGGGAGAACTCTCGACGTGAACCCCCTTTCTCGTGGTCGAACGCTCGTAATGAGAGATGCCAAGGACTGGCGCAGGTCGTGAAAGAGACAAAGGGTGGGATGTTATTGTTGATGCTAGAGGGTTACACCCCCCCCCCCCTTCTCACCTGAATCGCCTGGCCTGGTAATAGGTATGTAAATGTAGGGAAAAGCCGTACGAGAGGTTAAGTCAGGACATAGACCCCTGCACCTCGACTGGACTATTTTAGGAGGGGTAGACGGCAGACTGGGGACGTATATTAGCAGGGTCTGACAATTTAATCAGGTACCCCAGACCTGTTGGCGACATTTAATTAGGTTAGGTTTGAGTGGGACGTGTTGGTGCATAATTAGCCCCGCACCTGGACATTCGTGAGTCCGTTATTTAAGGAGGAGAAACACTGGGGGACACTCAGTCAGAGCTCACGAGTCACACACGGACGGACTCGGATAGCTAGGTCTAGAGGAGACAGACATGGGGCGTCTCTGTGAGCTAGTGGACAGCCAAGAGATGCCTGTACTGTAGTAGACCTAGGCTAGTTAGACAGTTAGGGATAAGTAGAGAAGTCGTACTAAGAACTTTAGTTGTTTGTAACTAGTTGTGTATATTTCTGATTGTTGTACTTCGGTGGCGGGTTAACTTTAAGTGTTGTAATTTGTGGAAATAAATAGAGATTACTGAAGTGGCGTTTATTTATTTTTATTTTTTTCTTCTTGTTTACGATTCCCTGACTAGTTCGAAAGGATTAGAGAAGGGAGTCGTAACAGAATATATATATATATATATATATATATATATATATATATATATATATATATATATATATAATTTTTTGTTGATGATATAAAGGCTGTTTTATTTTTTCACCAGTTTCCACCACAAACATCACCCCCCAGAAATTGGACTTTTAACTTTAGTGGAAGCCAACAAGAAATATCTTCTACACCAAACAACAGAAACACGATGAAAATAGAAATGGTGGTCTATGATGCTAAATGTACAGATGCTGGCTTCTTTTACTGTAACGCTACATACATAAGCTCAGAGGGTCACCTATTAGCAACATCTCAGTTTCAAAATGTAACCAGCATTAGTAAGTTGTTACAGCTACTGTAGAATTGTTTCTGTCAAAGGTTACAAGTATCTTGAATTTATTTAGCTTTGCATTAAACTAAAAATATATAACCTATTACAGGATAACATTACTGTAACGTTTATTTTCTTGTATTGTCGTAATGTTTACTATTTAATGTATAACATAGTTAAAAATAATGCTCCTCACAACGAAGTATTTATATATTGAAATATTTGCAAACAGCCCGAGCAGTACCACTGTCCCTGGTGTTAGTGCCCCAGTATGAAGAGGGACTGGGACCATACAAGTCAGTCAATCCTGCATGGTCTAATGTTACGTTGACATGTAACGTTAATGTGAGTTTAATTTCTTTAGAATTAGGTTTTTTATTCATTTTTGTTAGGCTGATTTAGCATATGAAAGAATTGTTTCGTACAATTGAAATCTTGTACACATATGTTAATGTAACATCAGGGACCAAAAGTTTTAACCTTCACCTGGAAGTATGGCCCTTCTAGCCAGGACTTCAACAGCTTCATGATATATCCTGTACAAAATGATATATCAGTTGCTGAACCCGTGCTGGTCAGTTCTGGGACAACCTGTGTCCAGTACCGTCATACGTCAACACTGAAGTTTCAAACAGAAGACATGTATGATGGCTACATGTATGTGTGTGTAGCTACAGAAAACAATGAAGAGACGATTGTTGGGAATATCACCATACACACACAACGAGGTACATTACAAATTTAATTGAATTTATTTCAACCATCACTTTAGTCATTACATTCTGCTTATTAAGCCTCATACGTTGTGTATTTAATAAAATGATAAGTCATATAAAAGAAGAGCTATTTTACAATGTGGATCATGCTACATATTTTAAAATCAGAATATCTAATAAACAAAAAAACGTGTCTACACGATTTATTTAAAAAGACGCCCGTCGTTGGAAAAGTTCTGTAGTAAAAAAAAACTTTTAAAGTTGTCTGGTGCTGTGGGCAGTGGTTTATGTTATTGAGATTAAGAACCAAGAGACACGCATCAGATCCAATGAGATTTGTAAAGAGTATCAATGTATAAAAGTTTTAAACAGTATACAACCTAGTGATATTATATGAACTCGTAAAAAATCATATATGTTTTCAGTGACACCAACGTGGCATCCAAATGGAACAACGACCATGGGAACACACGTGACAACTCCAAGATCAGGTGGACAATCAATAACTGCTCACATCATTGCTGACTTGGCTACATTGGTTTTTATTTGTCTCTATCTTAACACCATATAGGTGCCATTCTTGTTAGGCGTGATACTTTGTTTTGTTTTGATTGTAGTAGTTACAATTTTTTAAACTCGTTATGTTAATTATTCTCTAAAAAATGTATAACAAATGCTGTAAAAACGCTGTTTATTTCTATTTGTTTCAATATTAAGCTGTTTCTCTTATGGATTCTATTAATACCGATGCATCCTAAATATTTTCTTTATTTCAACCCATCCTGTTATGCGAATGCTTTAATTTCAATGCATTATTGTTTTGGTTGTACATTTACATATTTTCTCCGTGAAATTTTGTGAAACTGCTAAAATTCTTTGTCGGATGAAAATTTTTATTGTTGAATTTAAAATTATGAACATAAAATTATTGGCTTTTCATTTCCCCTCTGTGGATTCCGTTTTATAGAAAATAAATGTATTATTTTAAGAATGATTGATTAATTTACCTTTGGCTGTTATGTGGAGTGCTTAAGTTTAAACAGTAATTTCATTTTTAAAAAAAGCTGTTAGAATATTCGCAATCTTATTACTCGCAAGTTAATTAGAAGAGGCTTCGATGATAGTGTAACTCAAAGATTGTATTACATTTCTGTATTTAATAAGATTAAGTACCTTAATGTATAACGAAATTTGTACTTAAATAAATGCAATATTTTGTCATTTTCTGTTTTTGTTTGAAATAGAATAAAATTGGTTTTAAATTAATTACTTTAAAAAGTTACCTCCCTTGTAAAGAGACCAAATGACGTTGCTTTTGTTTACTTTTTGACTCGCTATTGCTATGCTTATAAAAGAAAATACGGCATCTGGGCCACATAAATTACACAGTTTACATGGAAACACGACTAATCAGTTTGGACCGCTTTACAGGTTTTGCCCAAATGTGGCGTGGTTTTTTTTCTAACATGCTTAGGTGTTTTTCTACGACCTCACAGAATATTAAGGGGAGAGGGGGGGGGGTGCTGTCGTTCGGCAATACTTTTTCGACTTCAGTCGAGGTCAGTTTTTACCCCCTCATCGTGGACTTTGTGGCCGACCCGCACCGACCCCTGTGTTTTTTCAACCCGAGGCAGGAGCCTGCCAAATTTGAAGCGCCTGTCTTCAATAAGTTTTGTTTTTTTATTTCCTCGACAGACTTGACATATTGTTATTGAAAATTTATTAGTCCTTTCTTTTTAAAAAAATGTAAAGTCTGTTTGAAATAATAATTGTAGATTTATTAAAGTTTAGGCAATGCTTAAAGTTTTACTTCACGTTTTTATAACTAGGATGTGCTGTATCCCCCCTATTTTGCCTCAATTATTACCGGCTGATTCAAAAGTTGAGCATTACAAATACATTATTACACTGCATGTTTTAACATCTAATGCCCTGTTTTTTAAATTAAAAAAAAAAACAACTCTATAAAAAGTAGCGGACTATTTTGATTGGGTTAGGAGTGGTGTCTTCAATATAAGCCATGGTAGGAAATGTATAACGGGCAGAAATGATATGCTACGAAAAATACAAAAGATGAATATCGCACAAACTTTTTTTAGGCTACCAGGCCTTATCGTAAGAATCACACTGGCTACCACTGGATGTTAAAGGCAAAATTGGCGAAGGTGTTGATACCAAGCGCCATCTAACTGTAGCACCATCTAACTGTAGCACCATCTAACTGTAGCAACATCTAGAGTACAACTAAGAATATTTAGAGACGATTGATACAGACCACACATACATTCCTAAACAAATACCTGAAAAACAAACAATTTTTAATTATTAATTAATTAATATTAATTAATTATTAATTAATAATACATTATCCACCATGACAAAGTCAAATCTAACAAGAATACTGAATGATACATGCAAAGAAAATAAAGATTAACGGACAATTGAAGATTAAATGAAAGAAACCAATATCTAAAAAAATAATAATCCAGTAGACGCAGGTAAGTAATTATATGTAGCCAGCAGCTGGGTAAAAAATAAACTACACAAACAACATACGACATATTTTATAAACCCTTCACATATTGTAACAACATACAGATCGTGCACAGTCAAGTGCACTGACACATGCACGACACAACGAGTCGCATATTTTCTAAACGGTTAAAGTAAATACTGACCTAACTATACGAATGTTGGTTTTACGATGCACTAAATATTTGCCATATTATGCTCAAAGTCAAGACTGATAAAAGGTGCATTAAACTAAACTTTTCGAATGGACCCTACCGATTATTCAATAATTATGTTATATTTTAAAAGTCATACACGGCGTCATTTAAATCAATATGGTTGTACAATCCTGATTTTTTTTTCGGATTTAGAAAAGAATGAATTTATGAGACGTTTTAGTATCTACAGTAATTAAACATAATTTAACAAAAAGCAAAAGCACTTTGATTTTCACGTGGTAATGGGGACATACACAAAGACATCCTGCTATTCGATAAGCTAGCATACATTTATATCATACAAAATGTAAACAAAAATGGCACAACTAGGTCAAGTGGTTTAAACTAGCATAATTTTATTTAAAAATTTATCGGCAAAGTTTCGTAAACAAATAACTATGATATATATATATATATATATATATATATATATATATATATATATATATATATATATATATATATATATATATATATATATATATATATATACATACACTATCTCTTCATATGCCGAGGTCACAGAAACAGGTGAACTTTACTTCACTTGCCCTATAGACCGTCAGGTTTGAAAGGAAAACTTTACTTATATATATATATATATATATATATATATATATATATATATATATATATATATATATATATATATATATATATATATATATATATATATATATATATATATATATATATATATATATATATATATATATATATATATATATATATATATATATATGCAAGTAGAATTATCTAAATATTTTCCATATTTTAATTTTTTCTATTGTTATTTCTAAAAAAACTGTAATTTAATGTTTTTATGTATTTAAAAGTTTAATGTATTATTTAAACGGCTTATTATTCTTAAGACCATTATAATACTACACTAGCTGCATCCCGTGCTCCGCCACGGTAAATCTTTTTTAAATGTACCAACTTTGGAACAGAACAAAACAAACAAAAACAACACAAACACAAAAAACACAACCACAACCACAACACAACCACAACACAACCACAACTTTAACACAGCCACAACACAACCACAACACAACCACAACACAACCAAAAAACAACCACAACACAACCACAACAAAACCACAACATAACCACAACACAACCACAACCACAAACAAAACACAACCACAACACAACCACAACTACAACACAACCACAACCACAACACAACCACAACAAAAACACAACCACAACACAACCACAACACAACCAAAAATCAACCACAACACAACCAAAAAACAACCACAACACAACCAAAAAACAACCACAACACAACCACAACACAACCAAAAAAAAAAAACAACACAACCACAACATTAGAATCACCACCAAACAACACGCTTTTTTAGGCGTCCGCGCCCAAAGAGAGCCTTTCCGATATTAAAAATTTAAGTCACATAAATAGATCCTACTCAATAACTTATAATAAAACAATGCGATGCAAATGAATGTACGGCAAGTGGTGTTTACTTTTATGGTTCTAAGAAAACACATTGGCAATGTAATTAGAATTACCACCGAAAAACACGCTTTTCCCAGGCGTCCGCGCCTAGAGAGAGTCTTTCCAGCATTCTCTATACTATAATTTTAAAATTTCACCATCTGTTAACACCAAAAAACAAAAACAAAAAATAGTGATTTTGAGAAATCATAGACTAATTAGAAAATAATATAAATAATCTTAACATTTTTCTCTTTTAATTATGAACCTTAACATAGACTAATCAATGCGGTAGTAATAAAAAAAGATTAACTTAAATTATTGTTGAGTTAAATATATTTTCAAATTACCTCCCTTGAAAAAATTACCACACAAAAAAAAGTTGAATTAATTAGTTTTTTCGACCTACTTTTATGGAAATGTATCCACTTTTTCTGGGAACCTAAACGAAAAAGATATTTGACATTAATCTTTTTAATACGTTTTAGCAGTTTGCGTGTATTTAATATTTTCTTGACGTTATGCGAAAGAGTAAAAACCGTGGCAATTATAAAATAGCTCTATGCCGCTATATAAACAAACCCTACTCTAATACTTATAATAAGACACTGCGGTGCACTGAAAAGCACAGCATGGTGCGAATGTTTACTTTTATGGTTCCAAAATCTATAGCGATGACGGAAGGAAGGAAGGACTGACACACTACCAGCAGCGTTATATTATAGATATTATAAATTGCGTAACGAATGTACTTTCTCAAACCATTTCATTTCTTGGTAGTTGATGGTCCTGATATCTGTGGTCTTTGTTTGGTTGTGCTGGTTGTGGTGGTTATTTGCTGGTTTCAAGTAGGCCAATAACATTTTTACGCGTCATTTAAAAGTATTAATATTTAATTTTACTGAGATACATAATTAAAAAAAAATTATGAGATCTATAAATGTCACGAGATAACATGTTTAGAACAAATTCATTTATTCAACGAGTCAGCCTGTCCTCCCATGTAACGAGACTCATGCCATGAATGTATCGATCTACTCCGTCATGAGATTGAAATATTGACTCTGGTTTGGTGTAAATGTTTCGATCTCACCTGATACCGTTATCAATAACTTTACACTATCATACCGGTTCTGCTAGGTTTAGAAATTTACTAAGGTTTTATTTTCGGCATTTTAATGGACTCATTTTAAACAAGACACACATTTTATGGTTGAAATTTGAAGTCATTTTCTTACCAAGACAGAACCAGAGACTCGCACAGAAACACACAGACACAAACAAATACACACAAACACACACAAACACACACAGACACATGGCTTATATATTTTTCATTTTTGAGACATGTTAACTCTGTTCGTATCAATTATTTTCTTTATATCTGAATTTTATACAGGTAAGTTATGAAATTAATTTTTTTTTAAATACAAGAGTATATTGTTAGAACTACGTCAAGACTAAAACATTCATAAAAATTATTGATATGTAATGCCTTCTTACATTAGTAGATACATTTAAGGCTTAGATTAACACATTTATTTTTAATTCGAAATAGTAAATAGCTATTTTTTATACCTATTCAACCAGGAAGTAATATAACTTTAAGAAAATCATGCCAAATCTTTAATATAGAGACTTTTAATAAATAGTTTTGATTTCTTAAATCGAATATGGACATCGCGTAAAGATGTCTTGTGTAAAAAGTGCTTACTAAGATATAATTGATTGTAATAATTTTCAAACCGTGCGAACATACCCTGTGTCCCTGATGTTGGTTCCCCAGTTTGACGAGGGACTAATCACACGGACTAGTCATCTATAGAGGTGCATGCAAAAAATGAACATGATGTACTGACGTTAGGTACCCTTACATTTTTTAAAAATTTCCCTGTTTTTTCACATAAAATACAAAGATTATATAGGGAAATAGGATGGGTCAGTTTTGACCACTTTCAAGATTTTTCCCGGATAAGGCGAGTTTATTCTGACACCCCTAGGCGTTCTTCTACCATCTCACAAAATATCGGTCGTTAGGGCCTGTAGTGAGAGTGGGGGGGGGGAGATGAAACTGATAGAAGACAACACATTATATAACTGCATGTATACACCAGTTTATTCAGGAAAATTCATGCACTTTGAAGCGTAGAGAGCTTTCAAGCAGTCAAGAGTAGAGAGAAACCTGTGGAATTTTTAAAAAAATAATAATGAGGTAATTGAAGGAGTTGAAGAAATTGATACGGTAATGACAGGTGGGGCGTAATGACAATTGAGATGATGTGATTGACGAGGGTGGAGGATGACAGGTTAGGGTAATTAAATAGTGCAATTACCGGGGTAGTTACCCTAGTGGCGTCGGTTGGTTTAATATCTTGTTGCTTATGTTTGCATGTTTGTAACTGTTAATTAAGTCATCCTGCCTGAGTGTGTGTCTGGTGTATTTAAGCCTATCATGTGGCAAGACCCAGGTAGACCTAAGCGTGGTTACCGCCCCTACTCTCTTTTCTCCACAAGGCTTTCGTCTATCTTATTTAGCTGAATGGCCGGTGGCTTATCGTCACGTGTCTGGGCCAACATGCGTGGTCCAGATGACCACTAAGAATTAGCAGACACCATACGATACACGCAGAACAAGGTGTATATTAAGGGGTGGGAGGGGAACCTGTAACTCGAGCTCCTTCATCTGGTCTCCTGGTCGTTAGAATGTCAGGTTCCGACTCGCACGTGCTCTTTGTTTCACGTACATGTAATTAGCATTTTAGTGCAGCAAATTTACTAGTAGTTGTGCAGTTAACTTTGTTATTTAGTTGCACCATAAGGCCTTAAATCCTCGCACAGACTAGTAGTCAGCAATCCATTAATTTTATATCCATTTTAAAGTATTGAATTGACACGTCATTATCGGACCTCCATTACCAACTAAGTATAGGCCTACATTTTACTGTTATAACTTTCTATTTGTAAAGCCGGTCAAAAGACTTTTTTAAAATTTAGTTTTACATTTATGTTTTATTAGATTTTATTATTTATTTTCTGGGTTAGTTCATGCGGATACAATTTCCTGATGACTTCACGGAACGACAAAAATAAATATTTTATCTAAATTGAGTATCCTTGATTTAATGTAAGCATTGAAATCTCGTTCATCTACATTAAACCTATATTGCATACTGTAGCCATATGGCAACGTACCATTTTGAACACACACAAATGTTTAATTTTCCAGATACACATTAACTTTAGTGTTTCATCCCTTTATTATAATCTCCCTTACCAAATAAATGCGCACTCTTTTTAGTAGAAAAACGTTTATTTATATCTAGATGGATACGGACATGTGAACTAAGCCTATTAGTTGCTTTACACCACATAAACCGCTCTTTCAAATACCCACTCCCTTCCTTTTCCACCTCTTATTCCAACACAAACTACCGTCTACTAATTCGAAAATAATAACTTACCTACCAAGTCCTTTACACTTATTGCTACAATTATTCTAACTCTAGTGCAGAGTTTCTACCAGGCATTTCTCCCCCCCTCCCCGAATTTTTTTTTACAGCTCCCCCCCCCCCCCCGAACGAAATGAAATTTATATAATTTATATAGAAAATATATACTTTTATCAGTGTCCGCCCCCCAAGAAAGTCTACCCCCCCCCCCCCCCCCCCCCGAAAATTTCAAGTGCCCCCCCCCCCCCCGGAGAAAAAAGTCTGGAAGAAACACTGCTCTAGTGGTGTGCAGACAATAATCAATATTTGATTTCCTGCCTGTATATCAGACACATGTTCGACCAAAGGAGGTAACACAGCTTTTACTTGGTAAAATCTTAGTTTAGCGTCGTAAATTCCAACGTAGCTAGTAATGTGCGGTGGAGGTAACTAATGAATATTTCTTTCATTTGGCCATATTTATGTCATATTTTACATAATATCTATATATATAATTCTCCTCTTCGAGCCGTTAGAAAACAAGCTGCAAACGCTCTCCCTACCTCCCCACCCCTACATGGTTTTAGTGAGCTGTGTTCACTCTAAATGTTTACAAGCAGAGCCAACGATTTTAAACGTAGGGGGGGGGGGGGAGGGGGGGGGGAAGGAAGGGGGGGGGGGGTTATGGTCCTTAACGAGCTACTTATAGTGTTTTAAAGAAATATTTTCAGTGTCAGCGTTGGTACTGTCGAATTCACAAATTATGAATTATTGAAAATTAGAAACAACTAAATAGCGGCGTATGTTATGCCGCGGGCCGGCTCGTAACAGATAATTGAATAACAAATCACAATCCAAGACCAAACCAGTCATAAATATCTTGGAATAATCTTTAAACTATCCCGTTCGAGACAACAATGAGTAAATACAAGCAGCGGCCATGTTTCAAAAGCAATAATAGAGTATTTTCCCTTGAAAAATTGTCTATTCGCATGTCTTTTGTGTTGATTTTGTGGTTTAATATGATTATTTTGTACTGTTTTAATATATGCCTGTATAGTAATTTTTCTTTTTTTTTTCAATATATTTTACATGAATGACTAATAGACCTTTTCAGACTTAATAGTGTGCATCCAAGACCACAACAATTGTTGCTAATGGCCGTATTCCTAACGCCCCGCATTAGACGCTGCTTATTCGTCGGCAGGCATTTGGTGGCAAGCCTTTTTGACGGGGATAATGTGTTGAGGCCGTTTTGCCAAATGTCTTAAACTAGCAGGCTTGCAACATTTGTGATGATTCGTTTTGAGCAAGGTATACGTATACTAATGCTTATTTATCGTTATTTTGATTGAACAAAGCATTATAGAGGTTCTCCGTCAATGACCTTGGTATTTTTCCCCGTTCACCTCCTTTCATGAGACCGACACGTCATAAATTGCGGAGCCGCCTGAGTTGACGTCACAAATCTTTACTCACTCCCGTAGCAAATAATATGTGACATCATTTATGGACAACCCCATATCACTCACTTGGGTACTTGATATTGACAATTTGACAACAAAGGATAACCAAAATGTGTCTGGTAGGTGGAGACTTGCGATCGACCATAATTGACAACACGCACTTAAGGGGTGGAATGGCTCATTGTTTTAGATGATGTTTTACGAGGGAAGCTGATGAATAATACATTTTGTCTCTCTGTATATATATAAATGTTGACACATTTAATATTGTCAAAATTATGGTTAGAGATCGTAGATAAGGCAGAGTGAAGCGTATTTTTTACATTATGACTTGTTGTGACATTGACAACAAAAATATGACGGAGGTTGGGGTAAAGAGAAGTAAAAAAATGTCATAAGTTACGATAGAATCACTAATTGATGAAAAGAAAAACCTGAAATGAAAATAGTGAATATTCAAACAATAAGAAAAAACTCAAACTATTATAGTAATAGTACGATCAAATAAACATTAGTAAAAAAAACGTGATTTAATACATGGATACAAGTTGCATCTCACAATGCTTCTATAATTAATAAAGTTGTTTGTTAGGAAATTCAGTTTTTAAAGGGCAGAATTAAAAAAAAAATGCTTTGTAATACGGACTATACAACAAGACAATCATATTTAAATACATTTTCATACGAATAGAAATAAAAGGGAAGCTACTCTAAATAACATTTTCTTAAGATGACTGCTGTTTTTAATAGCAAATTTACTATTTCGAACAGGGTTGATAAAAATTAATTTCAGGATATTTAAATTGATTTAACCATAAATGGCGATCTATTATTCAATTATCTATAATATTTTATCAAAATATACGAAAATATACTCATATTTAATGACATATTCATTAATTCACTCTCTCCTACTTTACTAGATTTGGCCGAATTTACGACGCTAAACTAAGGTTTTACCTTTTACTTTACACCGCTAGCCCGGATTTATGTCTAGAGGTTTGCCAAAGCTTTAGTTTTCACTTATCAGTATAGTCACCCGCCATTTGTTGATTATTCGCATGGTGTTCAGCTAGTTACGACATAACATCGACCTAAAGTGGAATAACGACTAAATGTGTTTGCTTTCTTATCTATGTGGTGTCATTTTTCTAAATGTGTATGTCATGTAGCTATTAAAGTTGTATAGCTTTTTACATAATTTATAAGAATAGGTTTATAATTGAAACATTTTGAAGTTAGTTTAAACATAACAATTAAAATATGCCAAAGCGAGTGCTATTTTTTTCTTTACTAAATGGAGAAGGAAAATATGTGGGTCGGCTGAAATAGCAAATCATTTGCCATGGTGTGATATTTATTATAAAATGTGGAAAGATTGCTTTTGTTTTGTCAGATGTTAATTAACCCAAACTAATTTGAAATAATCAAGCAAATATGTCGAATGTAGTTTTCTTATTTAAAAATATCGTACATAAACAGAGCCACTTTATAATGAGTATACACAAAATTATACATGGTTACGAGAAATAGGCCTACTTAACAAATGTGTTCATAGGTAAGTGAGGTTACAAATGATATTTTAGAAAACAGCATAGATAACGAGTTACTTAAAAACATCTACATGAGCTACATCCTGAAGGGGTTGACCACAATCAGAAATCATGTCCCAACATTAAATTTGTGATACATCAGGATCAGGACAAGTTTTAACATCTGAAAAAAACAGGTGAGTGTTTATTTTTGCTTTTGTTACAAGTAAGTAATTTTTGCGCCTAAAACATACTTAGGAATGTATTTTATTGGTGTAGTGTAAACATGATTAACTTGCAGTGTGCGTTACTTTGATAAGATCTTTAGAGATAAAGTTGTTCGGCGCCCACATGTGATCCTATTTTATCTACAGGTTTGTTAAGTGACGTATGTTTCTGATGTTTTCATAGGAGACCTAAACATCAGAAAGTCTGTGTTTTTTGTAGTTTTTAATTTCTAGTATACTATCAAAATCATCCTGTATTAAGCAATCTGTAGACCTATATTACTTCTCGAACCTAAGCTACTACCTATTTTTTTGAGCTATTCAACCTGTCAAAAACGTAATCTAACAATACAAAAAAGTACGTAATACGTACTAAATGTGTTGTATTTCAGTTAAATATTTTTTTAGCTGACTTGAGATTGGGCATTGGAAAAGAAGGCAAGTTAGTTCCCTTACTAAATAAGGCAGATATTTACATCTACCCGGCTGTGTGTCAAGAATTGGTTTCCTGCTTGAAGCACAGTGTATATCATAAAGAGGTGAGATCTATCATGTTTTACACACCGTTCACTTCACCCCACCAGCCTGGCTTTATGTCTATATGATTGCTAACGCTCAGGTTTTTCCCCATAGACCAGTCGAGTCACCCACCATTTGACGGCGACACACGACAGGCCTAGTTGGCTGCACACACACAGTGGACTTGAGTGAAATACTTTCCAAAACATGTTCTGTAATTTTGTTTTGGGCTTTTTCTTCTTATGGAAAACACAAACAGGTGAAAGATTTTAAAAAATATATTTTATAAAATTTCAGCTCAAAAGTTAACTTTACGTTGTGGAGCGTTTAATAGAACAAGCGTAGGTCTACTTATTGCTCATGAAACTTGTTATTAATTGGCTATAGTCTTTAAATTATTTTTTTAAAATGTGTTCGTTCAATACATCTTGGTTCTTAATTCAAGAAACTATTCAAATAATACCTTTACCTTTCAACCAGGAAGTAATATTAGTGTAAATCATTTACATAAAGTATTTTTTAAACTGTGTAATATAGGTCAAACGGTATATGTATGTGAAGAAAATAAATTATTTAAATAAAGCGAACTGATCTCCCCAAAACTTTCTCGAATATTTTTATATAACAATAAGGGGTTCACAACTCCAGTGCAATTGAGATATAGACATATTTTTAAAACAATTTTTAAATGTTTGATTTTTACTTTCTCGTATATACGAAGTATAGAGAAATAAAAAAAAGTTCGTAATTTTGCGAAATTTGACGTTTTACAGCTCCCTGATTCGGAAAAAACATAGTTTTGCAATCTTGTTCGTATGTCTGTGTGTGTGTCTGTGTGTCTGTAAACTCGATAACTTGAGTACCGTTACAGCTAGGTTGATGACATTTCATATATTAGTATTACATCAAAATAGTAAATCCGTATTAACTTTTAAGCGATTTCCGATAACCGGAAGTGGAACTTTTCTATTTTGAATTTTTCAAAAGCCTATAACTTGAGTACCATTTCAGATAGATAAAAATGACATTTCACACGTAAGTAAAAAAAAACTAATTCTATGCCTTCTGTTAAATGTTGAGTAATTTCCGTTGACCGGAAGTAGTAATTTTTGCTATTTCCAATTTCTCAAAAAATCGCATGTGAATTTATAAAGTTCTAATAATATTCCGCACTATTATGCACATTTTATTTGGCGTTCACTTGGTGTGCAATTAATTTTTTCTACGAGATTTTATTCTAATCTAAAAAGTTTCAGTATTTAAAATGGATTAAAAATCATATCTATATCCCTAGTTTCATATAAAAATATTTGTTAAATTTTAGGGGAGATCACTCCCGGGTTATTTCTAAATAGAAAAGAATTATGTAAAAAATAAATAGCAAACAATATTTGTATAATATGGCGAAACATTAGTACTTTATAGAAAAAAAACTTGATTCATTTTCAAAGATTTTAGATGAATTAATTTTCTAATTAAGTAACATTTTTATGTCACAATACATTGTCTTCGAATCTTAACCTAAGTGAAAAGTTTGAAGTAAATCGGTCGGGTTGAAGTGTTTGTAATTTTGCTCGCAAATTTACGATTATGGCGGACAGAGGAATCAAGTTAAAAATAAATTCTAACTCTAGTTTTTGAGAAATCGGTAATAGCGCAAAGTACTACTTCCGGTCACCGAAAATAACTCAAAATTTGACAGAAACCAGTGAATTATATCTTTAACTTACTTGTGAAATTTCTTCTACCTAAAGGTTACAGTTTTCAAGTTATAGGCTTATTATAAAGAGCGATTTTGTTTGTTTTGCAGTGAGTGCCCAGCAGGCCAGCCAAACAATAGTCAGCCCATTAATGATAGCGGAAGGAGGATCTTTTACTGTAAGATGTGATGCATCACGTGGTGGCGTTCCAACAAACTTTCAAACTATTTCAAGGCTGAACTTAGTATGGACACCTGGGACAGTTGCACCAATAACCCTGGCAAGATATAGGACATTTATTTCTCCCTACAATAACTCGGTGAGAACTAAAGAACAATGGTCGAAAGGTCCGTTTGAAGTCGTTCAAGTGAATTGATAAAAGACCTAATTTTGTCTGCAAGCTCTATTCATAATTGGACAATGTCCACTTGAAAGAAAATGAACTATTTTTTTAAAACTTCACTGTAATAGTTTTTTTCAATATAGTCATTTAACTATTTTAACAAATGGGATTGACAGCGACCCCTTTAAATTTTACCTAATTTCAGATAATTGAGTTAGTGGATCTTAAGGCATATTTAATTCGAAAGCACTAACTGAATAGTTTATAATTTTAGATCCAGTTTCTTGAAATCGATATCTGGATAAAACAATGAACGTAGATTGCGAATTAAAGTTAAATTAATAATTTCTTAATATTGCTCTTAATAAAACATTGTTATTAGCAACCGTTTTGAAAATCTGATGTTATTTAGCAATGATGCTACAAAACTCTGCTTTACTCACAACAAATCGTTACTAATCGCTACTAATAACCGGTTTTTTTAAATTTATTTTTGCAACATCTTGTTAGTTGTTAAATGATTTCCCACTCTCGAATGCTATTACAAAGATTAACTTTAATAAATCTTTTGATGCTTTGTTAAGTTTAACTAATTCGTTTTTTTTTTCACAATTATCATGCGTAAAAAAAGTAAACAAAACCATATTGACAGTCAATTAAAAAATGTTCAGATCAACTAAAATCATCCAATACACTATTAAAATTTTGCTGTGAGATATTTTGTCTGAGATCAATTGTCCATGATCATTAGTCCTGATATATTTTGTCCTGGTATCTTTTGTCCGTGAGAAATTTTGTCTGAAATCATTTGTTCATATATATATATATATATATATATATATATATATATATATATATATATATATATATATATATATATATATATATATATATATATATATATATATATATATATATATATATATATAAAGAGATGTGTGAATCTATTTTTACAGTATCCACCACAGACATCTCCAGCAAGAAACTGGACTTTCAATTTCTCTGGAGGCCAACAAGGAACATCAGAAAGACTCAATAACAGAAACACGATGAAAATAGAAATGGTGGTCTATGATGCTAAATGTGCTGATGCTGGACTGTATTTCTGTAACGCTACATACATTACTCCAAATGATGATGAAATAACTGTTTATCAGTATCAAAATGTCACCAGCATCAGTAAGGTTTTTCAACTTTCAGGAGATGTTAGATTATCAAAAATCTATAATGTATTACATTTTTAGTGCATTAGGATTTTTATGTTTATCTAGCTCCGGTATAGCCGGGTATCAGAAACTGATATTAGATCAAAGCTAGCTATACATAACTTCGTGAATTACAATTTTCTGCAATAAATACATGAAATTATTTTCAACCAGTCCAGGCAGTTCCCCTATCCCTGACGTTATTCCCCCAGTATGAGGAGGGACTGGGTCCATACGAGTCTGTCAATCCTGCAGGGTCTAATGTTACTTTGACGTGTAGGGTTAATGTGAGTTTGACTCTTTAGTCTTTATTGTTTAATTAGTGGGTTTTTGTGTTTGCAGAAGAAAATTACTTAGAAAAATATTTTTCACTTAATTTAAGACTTAAATATTTGAGATCTGATAAATACGTGTTATTGCAAAAACAGGGTCCAAAAGCTTTAACCTTTACCTGGAGGTATGGCAAGCCTAGCTCTGATGTCAACAGTTTCACGTCATATCCTGTACAAAACGATATATTAGTTTATGAACCTTTTCAAATCAGTTCTGGGACAACCTGTATCCAGTACCGTCATACGTCAACACTGAAGTTTCAAACAGAAGACATGTATGATGGCTACATGTATGTGTGTGTGGCTACAGAAAACAACAGAGACACAATTGTTGGGAATATCACGATATACATTAAACTAGGTAATCACAGTTATTTGTGCTAGAGTCAGCAAATGTATCTATCTTAAAAACAAAAGCATAACTCGTAAGTTCGAGACTGAACTGGAAAAATATGTGTGATAGTTACACGTTTGTGTACCCTTTTTAAATAATTTAATATACACAGCTATTATAATTTATCAAATTAATTGGTGTTTGTAAAAAGTACCACACTTCACATTGAAATCGTTGATGAGCGATACTTTTAAGCTTAAACTTCAAGAAGTTGTTTTAATTCTTTATGTTGTTTAAAATTTGAATATAATTATTAATTAAATAATTTTTTTTCAGCTACACCAGCTCCTGCCCCAGACGAAGATACGTCAGGTACAAACACTGATTTAGTTAAATTAGAAGTTGTGTTTAAAATTGGTTAACGTCTGTCACTGAAACATTTTGTTACTGTAACAATCACTTTATCTCTGAAGACAACAGACGTCCCAATCTCAATGTTGGTTAAATCTTGTCAGTGCTTCTGAAAGTATTTACCATAGTAAAAAAGTGCATCTGTTCATTTGTCCAACATATTTTAAAATCATTTTCACAATATCGAGATCAGTGTTAAGCTGCACGTGAACTTTGTAGTGACAAGAATGTACAAGATTGGAGTTTATTGACGGGTCTTTTTTTAATAAAATATATCCACATTTTCATAGTTTCCCCCAAATATAAGTCATGCCGGGCATGAAAGTAAAAGTTATGTATATTTAAACTGACGCAGCGGATTTGTTTCAATGCACAAGACCTCAGCAATAAACACAGTTTTATTTTCTGGCTAAACACCTAGATTTTAAAATACTATTTGTTAAGGAAGGTTGGGAATGTGACTATAGAGGATATAGACCTAAAGATGGGTTAATGTTTATAATTTTTGTGCGGCTTTTTTTAGTTCACTTGAATACGTATTTAAACTTATTCATCAAACATAAAAAAACACTTACACAGTATTATTGTTACCACAGGTTTTTTTTTACCAAATTCATTGAAAAAGATATTGTAAAGGTGCACAATCTCGAACGCTAAAAAATCAAATGATTTTTACGTAGATTATCCTGTATATGCTCTAAACATATACTAAAGAAAAAAATGAAACTATTTTATAACCACGACAATTCAGTTTACTTTATGTAGAAACATTTTGTTAAGATTTATTATTTAACAAACCTTTGAACAATATTTTTTGTATCATTGTTTAACAATAGCATCCCCTTAAAGCTGTGCAGTCAAAATGTCTCTTCCAAGTTGGAATGTTTTGTTGCTTAAGTTTACGACAAATTAACAAACTTTCTGCTCATTACCCAGATAACAAAAACAATGTGAAAGTGCTGTACTACATTCTTCCAGTGGTTTTTGTTGTCGGTGTAGGTGTTGTTGTACTTGCGGTTTACTTTAGAAAAGGTTGGTCTTTTTATTTTGGTAAATATACATACGTATAATTTGTTTGATTACATGTTTTTATTATAATCATTTAATTAAACAAAATAAGATTTCAGCTACATGTTTTGCGAATAATTAATTTACCTTAAGGTAAAAAGCTCGCGATAATTTAGAAAAGAAGATAACTAAATTACTTTTAAACTGTGAAACACTTTCAGGATGTCCAAATCGAGTCATGAATAAACCAAGTGAACCCAAGTCTACCACACCAACCACAATAAGGACTTTACCTACACCACCTGATAACGATGGATACGCACAGGTTAGTGACGCCAGCGGGGGTTATGACCAGCTGGGAGAAACAGCAGGACTCGATCCCCCATATGGTGCTACAGACCCAACATCTGCCAGAGAGCCGAAGGTCCAGAGTGAAACACACCACTACAGTTCTATTGACGACCCTCACTACACCAACGACAGCGTTGATAGTCACCACACAAATGGTCTTCAACAGAATCAAACAATACATTACAACAATTTGCCACAAAATTCACAACTAGCTTTAAACCAAGATAGACAAAACAATGTTATTCCTACAATGGAGTTGAACGAGTACATAAACGTGTACGATACACCAGAAGAAACGGCGTACAACGACACAGTAAATACATATTTGACTCCTAAATTCGACTCTTGATTACTTAATTAATTCTCTACTCATTATGGGGCCTCAACCATAACCATTTTTTTTGTACGGTTCCTGGTTGTTGATTTTGAAGACTAACATATATGATATGACTTGCAATTATTATTAAAATGTTATATGTTTAAAAAAAAACTTCTATTGTTAAAATGGTCTCCATGCCTAATGTTATTACCGTTATAAAAAAGTTAAAAAAAAAGTTAATTCATTATTTTTCTTGTTGATAAGTTAGTAGTCTCAACACCTAACATAACCTGTAATTATTTCTATAGGAAATTGACAATTATTTAAAGTCGACAAGCCTAACACTACTATGTTAAAATTTGTAGAATTAAGATTTACACTGTAATTAAATAAATATAGAAAAAAAACTTTATAATAATAAGATTTTAAATACATTGAAAATAGAAAATAAAACAAACTTAACTTCTTTAATAACAGCATAAGTCTGTGAAATATGTAAGTGATCTCATGATTTTGATGAGCACAACTTTGAATCTTTACTAAAACACAATTTAATATTTCACTTATGTTGCCGCCTTGGATCAATGACCTGTTGTACTCATCAAGGCTGTGGGTAGGTCAGCCATAATTACAAACTACAGGTAGATTCTCATGTTTATACGTGCTTGTCAATCAGTGAACAATATACAGTCAGTTTATCGGGTGGGTCAATAAGTGAGCGAATCATATATATATATATATATATATATATATATATATATATATATATATATATATATATATATATATATATATATATATATAAAGCAAAGTGGTCAGGAAAAAAAACTTTTACAGTACGACCCCCCCCCCTTGAATTTTGTGAGGTGGTAGAAAAACGCCAAAGGGTGTCAGAAAAAACTCGCCATATCCGAGAAAAATCTAGAAATGGGTCAAGACTACCCAGTCGTATTTCCCTATATAATCTTTGTATTTTCGGGTGAAAAACAGGGTAATTTCAATACAAATTATAGGGTACTTAACCTCTGTAAATCAGGCTAATTTTAGGCATGCACCTAGGTAAATGGCTAGGTCGAATGGGAAAATTGTCATCGAAGAGATGACCGCGAATTAAATTCTCCTCATATGAGATTTGTATAAATAAATTGACGAATGATCACCCTTATCTTTTCTAAGGTCGTAATAAAAAAAACAACAATTCTCGTCGGAAAAACCCCTTACGGTTGTTAGATGTGTCCTGATGTCGTATTTTCTTATGTAAACAATTATTTAAAAAAAGGGAAAAAAAGACTACGTCATTTGGTCTATGCACGGGGGGGGGGGGGGGGGTAACTTTTTAAAGTAATAAATTCATATTATCAATCATATTAATAATTCAGTTATTATGTCAAAAATAATTAATTATGTGAAAGCAACACGCTTCGCACCATCATTTAGCAATCGGTGTATGAAAGTGTTTAAAATATAACTTACATTTATTAACTTAATGTAAAAATGAATTAAAAATAAATTTCTACGTTCTATATTAATCTGTTATTTCAATTTAATGTTTTATCAAATGAGCCCTCCCCGAAAAAAGTCTACAGTTCTCCCCCCCCCCTTCAACGAAACGGAATTTATATAGAAAATATATAATTTTAACAATGTCATCCCCCTCGGAAATTTTAGTCGGAATCATCCCCCGAAAACTGCACTTGCACCCCACACCCCGGAGAAAGAAGTCTGGAAGAAACACTGGTGTCCAGTACCGTCATACGTCAACACTGAAGTTTCAAACAGAAGACATGTATGATGGCTACATGTATGTGTGTGTGGCTACAGAAAACAATGAAGACGCAATTGTTGGGAATTTGACGATATACACACTAAACTAGGTAAATAGAAATTAATCGGGAGTAAACAATAGTAAAGATTCCTCTTTAGGCATACCGATCCATTGGGAAGATGAATTACAGTTCATATGTTTTTTGACCTCGGCACATGAAGGTAAGTTGTGTTCAGCACTTTGCCCAGACGCCTATACGTGAGTTAGGTACCCCCAGGGCTGCATGAGCTCAGGGACGCTCTACGGACTTGTACTTAACTTCGAACTTTCGGGCTTGCAGCCTAGCGCTCTACCGTTTAGGCCACGCCGTCCCATAATAAAGTGATCTCCCCTAAATTTTCTCGTATGTATTCATAAATTACAGTATGTTGACCATGGCAGTTATTCCTCATCCTACGTTTTTTTGTAATATTACATTAATTCTTTAGAAATTTATCAGGAATCGAATTAAGTCAAATTTGATGTCAGTTTGCGATGTCTTCGGGTCTTGATTTAAATCCCAATTTCGACACGACTCGGTCAATAAAAATTTCGCTCGTCTGTTCGATCGATGACGGACAAAACCCAGACACACAAAAGTCAGAGGAAGCATCCTAATATATAAATGACCATGTGCGTACTTCTCTCTCTCTCTGTCCGCAACGTTTTTGAGGCGATGTGATCAGTATGTTCAGCGATATATGGAGATACGGACTTTTGTTGAAAATAATATGCTGGATGCTATAGCTGTATAAATGTATAAACTAAATTTCATTTGAAGTAGAAAAATAAAAATAAGGCATATTCGAACTAAAGTACTTTCTAACTAAAGTGTTTATTGTTGTGATAAGAACACAATAAACAATGACATTACATGTCACATGTTTAAACTACGGAAAGAACAAAAAACTAATGGCGTCATCTTCCAATTTTAGAATATAAAGAAATGAACTGTTTTATTATAGTTTGATTTAGATCTACTTATAAAAATAAACCAGTTTTTAAAACCGCAGTTAGGCATACAACTAAATCACAGAGTTTAAGTTATTCTACTAAGTAAAATAAAAATAAACACACACACTCACATACATGTATAATCGTGTATTAGTATATGGTATGTAGATTTTTAAACAAAACAACAGTCAAAACACCTATTGCTACAAATGATGTTGTTCACAATCAATCTAAATGTAGATGTGATTTGCTTGTAATTAAAATAAATAAAAAAGAGTATTTTGTAACTCAGACAAGGAAGTTCATTAACACCGAAAGAACGCCAAATGTTGAACGTCAAACAGATGAAACATTTACCTTACTTAACTGTTTAATATACACGAAGTTTTGTGTGTGTGCAAACACTGGCGAGGTCAGAATGTGAAGAGTGGTAGACTCTAGTCGTCTCCCTTTGACAGTTCAAATAAAGATTTAGATCTTTTGGTCATCTCCCTTTGACCCAGGCCGTTCTCGAGATGAATCTTTCGAGTTGGTGGCTGCATCAAACATCTGACTCAAGATAAAACATTTCTGCTGGACTTGAGATAACGGATTCTATTAATAGGTCATTTTTGAACTACGTCATTATGTTGTTTCACATTGTTGTTTGCTGTTTCTTGATTTGGAGATCAAAAACTGGTAAGGTTTATCGATATAAATATAGTATTTTTTTTAAAATAAATTAAATGGTACATTAATAATATGACAAATTTAAAAAGTTCAATGAGTGTATCTGTTAATTTTTTAAGTTATTAATTCGATTCTTAATTTAAATCTCTGTAAAAAAATTATTTCTCAAACTAACAATGGTGGCCTTAGTGTCGTAGTAGCTTAACATTTGTTAAGGGTTTTAAAAAATTGTTTATAATAATAATTTGGATAATAGGCATGAAAAGTCTAAGTAGTCGTACTAAATTTTTGAAAAAATCTATTTTAAAATATGGCAAGTGAAAAAATTATAGTTCCATTTGAACCATCGATTACATTCATTTGTATATTTTTGTATCGAATATAAGCCGTTGGAAAGCCGTTTTGAATTATTTTATCAATTCAAATATTTTCAAAAATGCCCTCAAGTCAGCCGATATGGCCAGGGAGAGTAAAACAATAAAAATTAGAAAAAATTGTTTTCCATAATAAAAATAGGCAACCTTGATCTATGGTGTATAACGTAGTATTATATTTATATTAAATAATATATCATTCGCAATCATCTTGACTCTACTAATTCAAAATAAAAATAAAAGTTTTTGTTAATTACTATTATATTACTAGTAATTATTTCTTTGACTATTTCTAGCATTTAATGAAACCGGAAGTAATTTTGTACTTATTACACAATTGTTATAAAACATTCAATTTTGGTTAAAAATATGCTTTCTGGCAACGAACATTTGCAACAATTTGGCGTCAGCTTTTCAAGTCTATTCTTTAAAAAAAAAAAGCTAAATAAAAAGTATAAATATATTCTATTATGAAACGAAAATAGAACCAGGAAGTGGTAATGTTAAATTTCTCATTAGCCGGACGAATAAGACTACAACATATTCTTCGTTTAATTTTGTACTCTTCGATACTTAATAATCTGGCCATTATTATTTTTATCCTCCGTTTTCTAATGTTTACATTTATTAAAAAAAGAACGCATGAGAATAAAAACGTATAAATTAATTAAAATTAACAACACATTTTAAAAGTTTAATACATTTTAATACTACGTGGATATAGTCTACTTTAAAGGTAATTTATTTTCGGAATATTAACAAAGAAATATAAACACAGTTTAGTTATTTATACCCTAAATAAATGAAACGTAAGTTGATTTGGTATAAGTTGACATTTCTAATTTTTTTTACTAAACCGTCTACAAACACGATCTGTAAAAAAGGGGCATCAAAGATGAAATAGATTAAAAGCATGTCTCCACATTATACCATTGTTTCACATGCAACAGTAAAAGTAACATTGTTTAAAACTTTACCTAAGTCTGGTATGTTTGACTTCATTTTTCACTTGTTTAGAGGCCACAAGATCAACGCCAAGTATAGATAAAAACAACAAGGACAGTAACTATGAAGACAAGGATAACCACTTCGTAGTAGAGACTGTCCTCCCACTCGTGTTTGTTGTTATGGTCGGTTGTCTTCTCCTCGTAGTTTGCTTGAGAGAAAGTAAGTGCATTGAATAATACATACAACATATAACGTATAACATAGATAACTATCAAAATAAA